ACAATCCACAAGCAATTTGCCACTCTTTGCGTAAATCCCGTCTGAGATTTATTGCTCCTGGGTGTCAACAGGAGCAGACAAACAGCGATAGAGTAAGGAATTGGGACACTCCCCATTAATCAGAAAGTGAGTAATGAGCAAGTGAGAGAGAGAGGGACGGAGGGGCAGGCTGGGACAACATTGCGAGAGACAGAGAGAGAGAGACGGAGGGGCAGGCTGGGACAACATTGAGAGAGAGAGAGAGAGAGAGGGAGACGGAGGGGCAGGCTGGGACAACATTGCAAGAGACAGAGAGAGAGAGAGAGAGGGACGGAGGGGCAGGCTGGGACAACATTGCAAGAGAGAGAGAGAGAGAGGGAGACGGAGGGGCAGGCTGGGACAACATTGCAAGAGACAGAGAGAGAGAGAGAGAGGGACGGAGGGGCAGGCTGGGACAACATTGCAAGAGACAGAGAGAGAGAGGGACGGAGGGGCAGGCTGGGACAACATTGTGAGAGAGGGAGAGAGAGAGAGGGACAGAGGGGCAGGCTGGGACAACATTGAGAGAGAGGGAGAGAGAGAGGGACGGCGGGGCAGGCTGGGACAACATTGTGAGAGGGAGAGAGAGAGAGGGACGGATGGGCAGGCTGGGACAACATTGCGAGAGAGGGAGAGAGAGAGAGAGACGGATGGGCAGGCTGGGACAACATTGTGAGAGAGGGAGAGAGAGAGAGAGACGGATGGGCAGGCTGGGACAACATTGTGAGAGAGAGACAGTGATCAGCTGAAATGCAGAGCAGCAGAGACGCTGCACACCAAGGGGCTATCCAGGCAGTGAGAGTTGGGGGTGTGGGGGAGGAATGAAGGGTGACACGTTGGCAAAAGAGGAGCGTTGGGATAAACGAGAGCGTTGCAGGAGCGGAGGGTCCAGGCACAGACAGCAGCGCGGCGACCAGCTTTGTAAGCGTAGCTCAGGCCCTCTCGCTGTCCTCGTCCGGGCCTGGACCACGCCGCCACGGGATATACCTTGCCCGTCTTCTCTTGGCACTCGGAGTCCACGGCCGCCTTCCCCTTGACGACCACCGTCTTCACCGTTCCTGAGGAGACGAGCGAGAGGGAGACCATTGTTCTGCATCAGCGAAAACACCACAAACCGCCCGGTCACTTCTCGCTCGGGGTGGCCATCGAGGTTCACGCTGTCTCTCCTTGGAGCAGCCCACTCATTTCCATGACCCCCAACCCCAAAACCATCCTGAATCCCTGCACGTTTATTTCCTTGCGAGCGCCTGTCTCTCATTCCAAAATCATTTGGCTTCCACCTCCATCCAGGCAGTGCGTTTCAGATCGATATGGCGTGCTGTACGTGAGACAGGAGGCAGCGCTGAAGGACCCTCAGCCCTGTCTGATAGGTTTGAGACTGGTGTTCCCCGTGTGGGCGAGAGTTTTGGTGGGGGGGGGAGCGGTTTGCTGCAGGGAGGGAGAATGAGCGCACTGACCATAGTGCCGTGGTACAGGGAGATGTTCAAAGGGGTGGCCAAGAAAGGAGAACTGTACTTGTAATCAGGGATACCACAGTCAGGGGAACAGACGCTGTTCTCTTGGCCAGGACTGCAAGTCCCCTAAAGGCCACGTTGCCTGGCTTCAGGATACCTCACCTGGGCAGCACAGGACGCAGCTGTCGTGGTCCACGTCAGAACCAACGACACAGGTACGAAGTGGAAAGAGGTTCTGCTGAGGGGACATGAGCAGCGAGGGGCTAAATTTAAATGGCAGAACCAAAAAGGGAGCAATCTCCAGATTACAGCTTGGGCCACAAGCTAAATTGGCACGGGGACAACAAGACTAAAGAGGCAAACGCGTGGCTGAAAGATCGGTGTGGGAGAATTCACGGGGCATTGGGCACCAGTACCAGGGGAAGGAGGGAGCTGTTCCAATGGGACAGGCTCCACTTGAACGATACTGGGAGCAGAATCCTGGTGAATCACATAAGTTGGGTTGTGGCTAGAGCTTTAAACTAAGTAGTGGAGAGGTGGGTTCAGTTGCATGGACAAAGTTTAAGGAGGGAATGATCAGCACGGGTTAGTAAAGTTTCCAGAACAAGAATTAGGGCCAAGACTGTGGAAATGGTTAGGACTCTACCTTCAGGCACAGCAGGTAAAGGGGACGAAATATGAGAAAGGGTCAGTGAACGCAGGATTGAGTTGTACTTAAGTACACGCAGTATGTGAAACAAGTAAACGAGCTAGTAGCGCAGACTGAAATTGGCAGGTACGGTGTTGTGGGTATCACAGATACATGGCTGCAAGGAGATCAGGGCTGAGAACTAAATATTCAGGGGTACATGTCCTGTTGAAAGGACGGGTAGATGGGCAGGGAGGCTGCCTTGTTAATAAGAAGTGAAATTAAATCGACAGCAAGAAGTGATATAGAGCCGGAAGGTATAGAGTAAAGGTGTGGGTAAAGGTGAGGAACCACAAAGGGAAGAAAGACCTTGATGGGAGCTGTGTACAGGCCTGCCAGGATGTGGGGAAGAAAACAAACCAGGAGATACAAAAGGCATGCAATAAAATCACGGGGGATTTTAATATGCGGGTAGACTGGGAAAATCAGGTTGGTAGCAGACCTCAAGAAAAGGAATTTGTAGAATGTATACACGATGGTTTTTCTTTGCAGTAGAGCCCAGAAGGGGACAGGAAATTCTGGATTTGGTGATGTGTAATCCAGGCAGACTTGTTTAGGGAGCCAAAGGTGAGGGGGCAGAGAACACAATATGATAGAATTCACCCCCTCACCCTGCAGTTTGAGAGGGAGAATCAGGTGTAATGGTGTTACAATTGAGTGATGGTAACTACAAAGACATGAGGGAAGAGATGGCCAGAGTTGAATGGAAGGGGAGCCTAGCTGGGAAGACAGTGGAGCAGTAATGGCAGGAGTTTCTGGGGATAACTTGGGAGTCATAGCAGAAATTCATCCCAAGGAAGAAGAAACATACTAAGGGGAGGGTGAGGCAACCGTGGCTGACAAGGGAAGTCGGGGACAGCTTAAAGGCAAAAGAAAAAGCAGACAATGTGGTGAAAATTAATGGAAAGTCTTAGGATTGGGAAGCCTTTAAAAACCAGCAGAGAATAACTAATAAAGCAATAAGGAGGGGGTGGGGGCGGAGAAGATGAAATATTACAGTAAGCTCGACTGTAATAATATAAGAAGATTGCAGAAGTTTTTAAGATATATAAAACGTATGAGGGAGGCAAGGTCAGATATTGGATCACTGGGAAATGAGAATGGAGGACCACTGGAAATTGAGACTGGAGAAGTGGTAATGGGGAGCAAAGAAATGGCAGAGAAACTGAATGGGTACTTTGCATCAGTTTCCCCAGTGGAAGGCACCAGCAGCAAACCTGACCTTCGAAAGAGTCAGGGGGCAGAGCTGAGTGTCTTGGCCATCATGAAACTGAACCCACTACTTAGTTTAAAGCTCCAGCCATAACCCGACTTACGTGATTCACCAGGATTCTGGTCCCAGTATCGTTCAAGTGGAGCCCGTCCCATTGGAACAGCTCCCTCCTTCCCCTGGTACTGGTGCCCAATGCCCCGTGAATTCTCCCACACCGATCTTTCAGCCTCGCGTTCGCCTCTCCAGTCTTGTTGTCCCCGTGCCAATTTAGCTTGTGGCTCAACAGGTCACAGGCGCTGGGGAAGCTGAAAGGTGGATAAATCACCCAGACCAAATGGACTAGACCCCAGAGTCCTGGAAGAGATAGCTGAGGAAATTGTAGAGGCTTTGGTGGTGATCTTTCAGGTATCACTGGAGTCAGGGAGGGTCCCAGAGGACTGGAAAATGCCTAATGCAACGCCCCCGTTTAAGAAGGGAGGGAGGCAGAAGACAGGAAACTGCAGACCAGTCAACCTCAGTCGTTGGTAAGATTTTAGAGTCCATTATTATTAAGGATGAGTTGCAGAGTATGCGGTAAAATAAGGCAGGGTCAGCAATGGCTTCATCAAAGGGAGGTCATGCTTGACAAACCTGTTCGAATTCTTTGAGGAAGTAACAAGGATGTTAGGTAAAAGAGAGCCAGTGGTCGTGATCTATTTGGATTTCCAGAAGGCTTTGACAAGGTGCCCAAAAGGACACTGCTCTAGAGGTAAGAGCCCATGGAGTTAGAGGCAAGGTATTGGCATGGATAAAAGATTGGCTGACTGGTAGAAAGCACAGGGTGGGGATAAAGGGGTCTTTTTTTAGAATGGCAGCCGGTGTCTAGTGAGTCACCCAGGGGTCAGTGTTGGGACCACAACTACACACATTATACATTAACGATCTGGACGAAGGAACTGACAGCATTGTTGCTAAGTTTGCAGATGACACAAAGATAGGTGGAGGGACAGGTAGTGTTAGAATCATAGGATCCCTACAGTGTGGAAACAGGCCCCCCAGCCCAACAGGTCCACACCGACCCTTCGAAGAGCATCCCACCCAGATCCATCCCCCTACCCTTTCCCCATAACCCTGCATTTCCCATAGCTAACAAATCTAATCTACAGATCCCTGAACACTGTGGGGCAATTGAGCATGGCCAATCCACCCTAACCTGCACACCTTTGGACTGTGGGAGGAAACCGGAGCACCCGGAGGAAACCCACGCAGACACGGGGAGAATGCGCAAACTCCACACAGACAGTCACCATAGGGTGGGATCGAACCTGGGTCCCCGGCGCCGTGAGCCTGCAGCGCGAACTGCTGAGCAAGCACTCAGGCTACAGCGAGACTTGGACAGGCAAAGAAGTTTCAGATGGAATACAATACGGGGAAGTGTGAGATCATACACTCTGGTAACAAGGATAGAGGCGTGCACTATTTTTTAAATGGGGAACATTTCGGAAATCCGACGCACGAAGGATGTTGGGAATTTGAGTTTCGGATTCTTTTGAGGATAACAGGCAGGTTCAGTTGGCAGTTGGGAAGGCAAAGCCAATGTTAGCATTCATTTCAAGAGAGCTAGATTGCAACAGCAGTGTTGCGCTGCTGACGTGGTCTTAGACTCTGGTCAGACTACATTTGGAATATTGTGAGCAGTGTTGAGGCTCTTGTCTAAGTCTGGCCTTGAGGGGATCCAGAGCAAATTTACAAGAATGATCCTGGGGATGAAGGGTGCGTTATATGAGGAGCGGTTGAAGACTCTGGGTCTGTACTTGACAGAGGTTAGAAGGATTGGGGTGGGTGAAGGGAGGAATCTGATTGAAACTTACAGAATACCAGCAGGCCTGGAAAGAGTGGATGTGGAGAAGATGTTTCCGCTTGTAGGAGACCAGGACCCAAGGGCGCAACCTCAGAATGAATAGACCAGCCTTTAGAACTGAGATGAGGTGGAATTTCTTCAGCAGGAGGGGGGGTGAATCTCTGGGACTCATTGCCGCAGAGGGCTGTGGAGGCCAAGTCATTCATTGTGTTTAAGACAGAGATGGATAAGTTCTTGATTCGCAAAGGGCATCAAGGATTACTGGGTGATGGCAGGAGGCAGGGTTTGAGAAACATATCAGATGTGATTGAATGGTGGAGCACTCTCGATGGGCCGAGTAGCTGAATTCTGCTTCTGTCTCTTATGGTCGAAATGTTCTTCCTCACATCTTTCTTGTCCCTGTACCATTAGCAAATGAGAACAGCTTTTCTTTCTCTGCCTTCTCTAAGCCTGTCACAATCTTGTTCACCTCGAGCAAATCTCCCCTCAACCTCCCTTATCCCAAGGAGTACTGCCCCAGCTTTCTTAGTTAATGGCTGACATGAGCTTTTGCCTGTTACTTATGCGGGTGTAAGTCAGCGAAGGGAAAAACTTCAGCAGGGCATTCGACAAGATTCTGCATGGTCGGCTGGTTAGCAAGGTTGGATCACCTGGAATCCAGAGAGAGCTGGCCATTCGGAAAAAAAAATTGGCTCGAAGGTAGCAGACAGAGGGTGGTGGTGGAGGGTTGTTTTGCAGACTGTGACCAGCGGTGTGCCTCAAGGATTGCTGTTGGGTCCACCGCTTTTCGTCATTTATATAAATGATTTGGACATGAACATGGGTGGTACGTTAGTCATTTGGCAAATGACGCCAAAATTGGTGGTATAGTGGCCAGTGAAGGTTACCTCAGAGTACAACAGGACATGGATCCGATGGGCCGCGGAGTGGCAGAGGAGTATAATTTAGATCAATGTGAGGTGCTGCATTTTGGGGAAAGGCAAATCAGGGCAGGACTTATACACTTAATGGGAAGATCCTGGGGGAGTGTCGCTGAACAAAGAGACCTTGGGGTGCAGGTACATAGTTCCTTGAAAGTAGAGTCGCAGATAGACAGGGCGGTGAAGAAGGTGTTTGGTACGCTTGCCTTTATGGGTCAGTGCGTTGAGTACAGGAGTTGGGAGGGTCATGTTGCGGCTGTACAGGACATTGGTTAGGGCCACTTTTGGAATCAATTCTGGTCTCCCTGCTGTAGGAAGGACGTTGTGAAACTTCAAAGGGTTCAGAAAAGATTTACAAGGACGTTGGAGGGTTTGAGCTACAGGGAGAGGCTGGGACTATTTTCCCTGGAACATCAGAGGCTGAGGGGTGACCTTATAGAGGTTTATAAAATCGTGAGGGGCATGGGTAGGGGTGAATAGACAAGGTCTTTTCCCCAGGGTGGGGGGGAGTCCAAAACTAGAGGGGAGTAGGTTTAAGGTGAGAGGGGAAAGATTTAAAAGGGACCTGAGGGGTAACTTTTTCACACAGAGGGTGTGTATGGAAGGAGCTGCCAGAGGAAGTGGGTGGGGGCTGGTACAGTTACAACATTTAATAGGCATCTGGATGGGGACATGGATAGGAAGGGTTTAGAGGGTTGGGGCCAAATGGGACTAGATTTATTTAGGTTGGCATGGAATGGATGGGCCGAAGGGTCTGTGTCCGGGCTGTACGACCCAATTGCTCCTGGAAGCCATCGCAAATTGCTTCCTCGCTCCTTAACAGGTCGCACCATGTGCAAAAGTGCCACCCAGTGAAATAGCGGTCAGCTGATGTGGAGTATTCACTTGTACCCTGCCAACACACACAGACTGAAGCTGTGATGGGCTGTGTGTGAGTGAGTGTGTGAGAGTGTGAGAGAGTGTGTGTGTGTGCGTGTGTGTGTGTCTGTCTGTCTGTCTGTGTGTGAGAGTGTGTGTGTGTCTGTGTGTAGTGTGTGTGTGTGTGAGAGTGTGTGTGTGTCTGTGTGTGTGAGTGTGTG